AGAGCTGGACTGGAAGAGGAGCAACTGGGACTAGTACCTGGCGCTCCAACCAGGACTAGAACCTGGGGTACCGGCGCCGCAGGTGGAGGTTAGTCAAGTGAGCCATGGTGCCTGCCATAAATAAATCTTAAAAAAAAAAAAAAACCAACTTAATGTATTTAAAAAAATTTTTTTGCACCAAAATAGACTTACCTTCTAAGTCCATTTTTCATGAACTTTTTGATGTATCCTTGTATGTAAATAACCTTTTTAAAAAAGATTTATTTAAAAAGCAGGGTGACAGATCTTCCATTTGTTAGTTCACTCCCCAAATGGCTGTAGCAGCCAGGGCTAGGCCAGGCCAAAGACAGGAGCTTCATCTGGTCTCCCACAGGGGTGACAGGCGCCTAAGTACTTGAGCCACCATCTGCTGACTTGCAAGTGTACATTTATCAGGAAACTGAATTGGAAGCAGAGGCAGGACTCAATTCCAGGCATATTCTGATATGGGATGCTGGTGTCCCAAGAGGAAGCTTAACCTTCTGTGTCACCATGCCTGCCTCTATCAATCACTTTTGGCATTTCAAATCCAAGTTCTTATTTTAGTTAATTCCAAAAATACATGGGACACTGTTTTCTAGTTGAGTATTTTCTCATATACTTTTCTACTTTTTTAAATATTTATTTTATATATTTGAAAGGAAGAGTTAGAGTGGTAGAGACAGAAAGGTTTTCTATCTACTGGTTCACTTCCCAAACTAAATGGCTGCAATGACCAAGGCTGGGCCAGGCTGAAGTCAGGAGCCAGGAGCTTCTTCTGGGTCTACCACATGGGTGCAGGGGCCCAAGGACTTGGGCCATGCTCCATTGCTTTCCCAGGTGCACTAGCAAGGAGCTGGGTTGGAAGTGGAGCAGCTGGTACTCAAACCCGTGCCCATATGGGATGCTGATGCTGCAGGCTGGGGCTTTAACCTTCTACGTCACAGTGCCAGCCCAATTTAAGTTTGTTCTTCAAGTATTTTTTCAAGTGGCATGAGTATTTCAAGATAAAACGAAAATAGCTTGGTTCTTAACTAAACTATCCTTCCCAACTCTGGTGTTTGTGTTATTTTTATATTTCATAATGAGTAAAACAAGACCAAATACAAGCATTATTATAAAGGAACTGATACCTGCCTTTTGAGCAAAGAGAAAATAATATATGTAATATGTCAAAGAATTGTTAGGCCGGCGCCGCGGCTCACTAGGCTAATCCTCCACCTAGAGGCGCCGGCACACCAGGTTCTAGTCCCGGTCGGGGTGCCGGATTCTTTCCTGGTTGCCCCTCTTCCAGGCCAGCTCTGCTGTGGCCCAGGAAGGCAGTGGAGGATGGCCCAAGTGCTTGGGCCCTGCACCCCATGGGAGACCAGGATAAGCACCTGGCTCCTGCCTTCGGATCAGCGCAGCGCGCCAGCCGTGGCGGCCATTGGAGGGTGAACCAACAGCAAAGGAAGACCTTTCTCTCTCTCATTATCCACTCTGCCTGTCAAAAAAAAAAAAAAAAAAGAATTGTTAATGATTTCTTTGTAATAGCAATCTAAGTTAGTATTGAGAAATGTGAAGTTTATATGAGAACTTCTCTTTTTTTTAATCTATGGCCTTTTTTTTTCTTTTTAAAGGTTTATTTTATTTTATTTTATTTGGCAGAGTTACAGGGAGAGGGGAGAGGCAGAGAGAGATCCTCCATCCTATGGTTCACTTCCCAAATAGCCACAACAGTTGGGGCTGGTCTAGTCCAAAGCCAGGAGCCCAGAACTCCATCCAGGTTTCCCATGTGAGTGGTGATCATCTTCCACTGCTTTTCCAGGCACATTAGAAGGGATCTGGACCAGAAGCAGAGCATCCAGGACTGGAACTGGCACTCCATATGGGATGCTGATGTTGCAAGCAGTGGGTTAACCCACCATGCCACAATGTGGCCCCTCTCCAGGGCTTCTTGTTACACTGCCAAGTCAGGCTCCATGGGGCTGATCCTTTGAGGAGAGAAAGGCTTTAGGTCCACTTCCAAACAAAGAGGCAGGAGAAATAGATCTACCAACTCGAATGGGGTCTGGGGCAAAGCTTTATGGATCAGAGAGGAGAAAGCTGGACCCAGAAATGCCTAGTAAGGCACATCTTGGTTGGAGAGGCTTGAAATCAGGCCAGCATGGTAAGGTGGACTTTTAATTCTGCATTTCTGTGTTTGAGGGACCACTCAGTTTGAAATGGTTTCAGTGCACCCAACTTCTGGTGTTGCTGTGGGCTCTTTGGTCCTGCCAGTTAGATTTTCCTTCTTTGGGGCCTGGGTTGTGTGACTGTGTTCTGGGACCCATCTGTGCATGTATGGCCACATCCTAAAAAGCAGGGACTAAAGCATTTTGGCCAGACTCCTGGTTAAAGCACAAAGCAGGGAAGCTTTCAGGAAGAAAGGAAAAGCCTAGCGAGAGGTTTTTATGTTTGAGTCAGAGAAACCTGGTGAAAGTGCAGCTGATACCACTCCTCTTTCTTCCTGAAGCCATCCTTCAGAAACGAAATTCACAGCCTTGTTCCAGGAATGGGAAATTATTTCATTCTACTTTAAAACCTGTTAAGATGAAATGTGATCCCTGTTAAACATAAGAGTGGGAATAAGAGAGGGAAGAGATGTACAATTTGGGACATGCTCAAGCTGACTTGCCCCAAATGGTAGAGTTAGAAACATACCAGGGGACTCCAATTCAATCCCATCAAGGTGGAATGTACCAATGCCATCTCACTAGTCCAAGTGATCAATTTCAGTTCACAATTGATCATAATGAAAGGACTAAGAGTCAAAGGGAGCACATAAACAAGTCTAGTACCTGCTAACACTAACCGATAGAATAAATAAAGGGGAGAGTGATCCAACATGGGAAGCGAGATACTCAGCAGACTCATAGAATGGCAGATGTCCTAAACAGCACTCTGGCCTCAGAATCAGCCCTAAAGGCATTCCGATCTGGCTGAAAAGCCCATGAGAGTATTTCAGGCATGGAAAGCCAAGACACTCTGGCAAAAAAACAACAACAACAACAACAACAACAACAAACAACTAAAGCTAAATGAGGGATCTCTGTGAGTGAGATCCCAGTGGAAAGAACAGGTCTTCAAAGAAGGAGGTACCTTTCTCTGAAGGGAGGAGAGAACCTCCACTTTGACTATGACCTTGTCTAAACAAGATAAGAGTCGGAGAACTCAAAAGGCTTTCATAGCCTTGGAAACTCGTGACTGGAGCATAGGGAGGTTACTGATGCCATAAACAGGAGTGTCGATTTGTAAAGTCAACAACAGGAGTCACTGTGCACTTACTCCTCATGTAGGATCTCTGTCCTTAATGTGCTGTACATTGAGATTTGATGCTATAATGAGTACTCAAACAGTATATTTCACTTTGTGTTTCTATGGGGGTGCAAACTGTTGAAATCTTTATTTAATGTATACTAAACTGAACTTTTGTTAAAAAAAAAAAAAAAGAAATTATCAATTCCCAACTTGACTCTCACTGGGATTAAACATGACAATAGGTATGATCTGATTTCATTATCATTTAAAAAACCATCTATTATTTTTCACTTTATGTTTCTGTGTGGGAGCAAACTGTTGAAATCTCTACTTAATGTATGCTAAACTGATCTTCTGTATATAAAGAGAATCGAAAATGAATCTTGATGTGAATGGAAGGAGAGAGGGAGTGGGAAAGGGGAGGGTTGCAGGTGGGAGGGACGTTATGGGGGGGAAGCCATTGTAATTCATAAGCCGTACTTTGGAAATTTATATTCATTAAATAAAAGTTAAAAAAAAAAAAAGAAAAAAAAACCTGTTAAGAATGGGAATAATTTTTTGTGTCTTCATGTTTTTAACAGTATTATTGTTATGTTTGACTGGGGAGACATTGTGAGTGCCACTTGAGTTGTTTTTAGGAACTTCTTAATGTATGAACACATGTTCTTGAACTTTCCTCCAGTCGTAGTTTTAGACTGCTTGTTAAGGAGAGTTTAGACCCATGGTTCTCTGACTCTGGGTAGTGTCAGAAGCACATGGAAAGCTTGCTGAGACACTTACTGCTGGGCTTGCCCTCAGGGTTTCTGGTTCTCTAGGCCTAGGAAGGGACTTGTTCGCATTCCTAATAATTTCCTAAGTGATGCCAGTACTGCTAATCTGCTCCCTTTAAGAACCACTGATTTATTATTTCTTTCTTTCTCTTCTCTTCCCTTCTCTTCTTCCCTTTCCCTTTCCCTTTCCTTTTCTTTGACAGGTAGAGTTATAGATAGAGACAGAGAGAAAGTTCTTCCTTCCGTTGGTTCACTCCCCAAATGGCCAGTACGGCCCACGCTGTGCCGCTCCGAAGCCAGGAGTCAGGTGCTTCCTCCTGGTCTCTCATGCGGGTGCAGGGGCCCAAACACTTGGGCCAACCTCCACTGCCCTCCTGGGCCACAGCAGAGAGCTGGACTGTAAGAGGAGCAACCGGGACTAGAACCCGGCACCCATATGGGGTGCCGACACTGCAGGTGGAGGATTAACCAAGTGAGCCACGGGCCAGCCCCTATTATTTATTTTTAAAAATGAACTGCCTGGCCAGCGCCGCGGCTCAATAGACTAATCCTCCGCCTTGCGGCGCCGGCACACCCGGTTGTAGTCCCAGTCGGGCACCGGATTCTGTCCCGGTTGCCCCTCTTCCAGGCCAGCTCTCTGCGGTGGCCAGGGAGTGCAGTGGAGGATGGCCCAAGTGCTAGGGCCCTGCACCCCATGGGAAACCAGGAGAAGCACCTGGCTCCTGGCTTCGGATCAGCGCGGTGCGCCGGCCGTAGAGCGCCGGCTGCGGCGGCCATTGGAGGGTGAACCAACAGCAAAGGAAGACCTTTCTCTCTCTCTCACTATCCACTCTCCTGTCAAAAAAAAAAAAAAAAAAAATGAACTGCCTGAAGTAGATGTGACTTTTTATTTAATTTGTTTTTTTTTTTTTATTTCTTTTATTTATTGGAAAGGCAGAGTGACAGAGATCGATCGCTCAATCGATCTTCCATCCACTGGTCCATTTCCCAGCTGGACCAGGCTGAATTTACGAGTCTGGAACTCCATCTACATCTTGTATGCAGGTAACAGAGACCCAGGTACCTGGACTATCCTCTGCTGCCTCTCAGGTGCACACTAGCAGGAAGCTGGATCAGAAGCAGAGATGGGACAGAAATTCAAGCATTCCTATATGGATCAGGTGTCCCAAGCAGTGGATTAACCCCCTGTGCCACAACACCTGCCCCCAGAAACTACTGATTTATATTTGCGATTATCAATCATGTTCTTCCCTCACATACCTGAAGGCTAAAATGTTAACAGAAGTGTCTCAATTCCAGAGTCAAAGCACCTGGCCCAGAGGAGTGGGGCTGTGATCATCAGTAGGTGGATAGACATACCTTGAGAAAGCTGTTCAAGAGGTTGGGTGTGTTTTTCTCCTGTCCCGTTAACCCTCTCTGATCCAGCTTCCCCCCTCACACCCCCCCCCCACCCACAGACACATGAGAGCCCTGCTCTGTAGGATAGAGTGCTGATGTTAGTTCATGTCCTTGTCCAGAAAAGGAACCTGGCCTCTGGCGTCAGCAGGGAGGAGGTAACAGCTGCCTTAGTGCCTCTCCAGAAGTTCAGCAGAGAAAGCAGTAGCTGCACTGCCAGGAAGCTGGGGGTTGGGGCCATGAAAGGAATTCTTGCTGGTAATGATTTCGCTTCCCTTCTTAAAAAAAGATTAATCTATTTGAAAGATAGAGTTACGGGGTTGGGGGAGAAAAAGAGAGAAAGAGAGCCAGTGCTTTCATCTACTGGTTCACTCCCCAAATGGCTATAATGGCCATGGCTGGGCCAGGCTGAAACCAGGATCCTGGAACTCCATCTGGGTCTCCCACATGGGTGCAGGGGCCAAGCACTTGGGCCATCCTCCACTGCCTTCTCAAGAGCATAAGTGTGGAACTGGATTGGAATACTCCCACCAGTATGCCCTTAGGCATGCCGGGATTGCACGCAGAGGCTGTTAACCTGCTGTCCCACAATGTTGGCTCCTATTTTCTTTTTCTATGTAAAGTATTTTGTTAATGTATCTATCAACAGCTATGGGAAATACTGAATAATGTTTGTGATTGTTGCTTCTTCAGGTATTTCCTTTGCTAAGCCAAATGAGCTCTGACTTAAGTTCCCAAGGACGTTTAGTAAATGTGTATTATTTCCCAAGCAATCCCATGAGATAGCTGTTAGTATCCCTGCTGCACAGACAAGGCAGTTGAGGTCCCAAAAAGTTAAACAGTTCCTAGAGTCACACTGTAAGAAGAATCACTTTCAGGTGCCATTGAGTTGTGTGAACTTGGGTTAGGTCCAAAGTTTCCTCTTCAGTAGAATGAGGACAATATTGCTGCCACCTCCTGAGGTTGAGTTACATGAAGAGCTTTGAACAGCACATGCACATAGTAAGTGCTTAGCAAACGTTACCTTTTGGGTGGCTAACTCCTCTTTAGTATCTTTTAAGTTGAGGGGTCATCCTGCTCCTGTGCCAAGTAATTGTTCTGATAGGTATTAAAGGTCGGCCACATCTTGTCCACAATTTAGAAATCCAAGGTGCTCTGAAAACCATAGTTCTCCTCCTCCCCCAAATCATTTAGTGGCAAAACTTTGTGTGACCTGCACTCATTTGATGGCACAATGTGACCTGAGTTAACATGAAACTGTTGCTAGTCTATTTTTTACCTATCAAATGTGATCAGTGCTGTAGAAATCTGACTTCTTTTTTTTTTTTTTTTTTTTTTTTTTTTTTTTTTTTTTTTTTTTTTTGACAGGCAGAGTGGACAGTGAGAAAAAAAGACAGAAAGAGAAAGGTCTTCCTTTGCCGTTGGTTCACCCTCCAATGGCCGCCGCTGCAGCCGGCGCACCGGGCTGACCCTGGCAGGAGCCAGGAGCCAGGGGCTTTTCCTGGCCTCCCATGGGGGGCAGGGCCCAAGCCCCTGGGCCATCCCCCACTGCCCTCCCGGGCCAAAGCAAAGAGCTGGCCTGGAAAAGGGGCAACCGGGAACAAAAATCCGGCCCCCCAACCGGGACTAAAACCCGGGGGGCCGGCCCCGCAAGGGGGAAGAATTAGCCTATTGGGCCCCGGCCCCGGCCCTTTTTATTTTTTTTTTTTTTTATAGCCACCCCTCATAATCGGTACTCAGGAGGGATGCCCGGTATTGCACTGCGGGGTGGAAGTTTACCTCACTGTACCAAAACACATGTTTTAAAACTTCACAGGTTCCCGAATTTTTGCAAAAAGTCATGATCCGAAGTAGTTATCAAAGCATTTGGAGGCGTAACTGCTGATTTATAGTAAATTT